AATAATGCCAACCACAGTGCGACGCGTCACAGTTTCTGGACAATGAACCACAGGTCAATAGTTTGAAACAATCAGAATACGTGTGGTTCAAGTGGAAGCTATATGATATCAAGAATGCAAGCAAGCCGTTGGTGGAAACTTATCTAACCAATGACATTTTTTCGTGCATATTTAACCCCATTGGTTTTCCTTAATAAACTAACCGTTACTTCTGTGGCCTTTTTCTGCGTCTCGTTGACCGTAAATTCTAGTCCACGGTTGCTAATGCGATTCTGTGCTTCAGTTATGACCGTTATTCGTGATCCCTAATCCGTACCTATTTCAACTATTACAGAGTCATACAGCCAATCAGGTATGATGTGTACGGTTACAAAATTACACATAACGCATTAGGGAACATCAAGTTTCCCAAATCTGTACACAAAAAGGAAAAGTTGAAAACTTATATAAATATGCTTTCAATACGTATGGACCAAAATTTGTGTTATAAAATAATACCTAAATATTTTACATACTCGGTCTTATGGATAGGTTGAATATAAGAAATAAGGCGCGAAAGATTTGGAAAACCCAACGGAATAAAGAAACAGACTTAAGTTTGCACGGCCAGTGGACTTGTACACACAACTGAGCACGTCTCTGGGTCGTGAATAGGAGAAGGGTCACCACGGTGGTTGTTCGTCCCGGGGATTGTCTTACTTAATGAATAAGTGCGGTCGGGCACAATGAACGGTGATGCTGGAGGTCGTGAGGGGTTTTTTGCCTGTCCAGTAAAAAGTCACAATGTTCACAGATAGTACTAGGTAAATCTGACCTGACACCAAGTAAGATTATGGCCATCTGTCTGTCGGGGTACAGGTAGCGACGCTTGGATGCTCCAGGGATAGAGGCGCATTGTGAAAGGAAAAAGCCCGGTTGTACTGGTAATGTCACTTTGCAACCTGCTCCCGAGAATCGTTAAGCAATCCTCCAAGGTCTGAAAGTAAACTTAACTTAAGCACAGAACAACCGTTGTGGTTTTTCAAAACAGGATTTAAAAATCTGAGAGCCTTTTTGGATTTGGCGCACTGCGTTGAGAACCACGGTGCCTCATCCCCCATGTCAGGTTGTTAGGTAGCCTCAACCAAAGTGAGGTAGAACTCGCATTGTATGCTAGTGTTCGCGCGCACACTGAAGCGGACTGCGGATTCTCGTGGTTCCGAACCGAAGCCGGGAAATGAGTTCCTGGTGTGTGTGAGCGTAAATTCAAAGTAAGTGAACAAACCGTCGTTCTCCCTGTTTGACCACCATCAATCCTGACTCCGTTTGGCTTTGTGAAACCCGATTTCGCTTGTAAGCCTGTCGTTCTTTCGATAATCAATTTCTCGGTTAGTACAGGGGTTGTGAATTTGAAACACTACGACTTCACTGACAGGAAATAGAGGCGCGCTTGACCGCGGTGCGGCCGATCCGGTCGTTTTATTTTATTTTCGTGGTGGTGATGGTGGCGCAGTGGTTTAGTCGCTGTCACTGGCTTGCTTTGGACCCTATAATCCGAGGTTCGAGCCCCGCCAGTGCCACTCTACTGTGGTGGTAGGCAGCTTTGTTATCGCCCGGTTCTATACCACGCCTGATATAGTTAGTGTGGTTCACCACTCCAACTCCCGGGGCTTGGGTTAGCGGTTTCCATCAATGGACAGCAGGTCTCCGTAACTATGGGGTTCGCCCCGTCTGTTGTTCATCACACAACAGTGTACTAAAAAAGATATTTAAAGATGCAAGGTTTATCATTAATCATTCGGCCTCAAAAGTAACACTCAACTGTTCTTTTATGGCCCCGTTACTTCGATTCTGTGCACCACGGTCAGTCTTCTGAGGTAATTGAGCTGTTACGAAACCAGATGTGAAAGAGGCATTTTTCATTCAATCTGATTTAAAATCACACTTGTGGAAGAAATGAACTCATGCACACAACAAGAGTTGAGCACATGAGCACATGAACCTATAAATTATTTGGGCAGGTGAATAAATGCAAGGTTTATTTTGCGAGCAATTAAATGGGCAATTAGACGACCAATCAAGCACGTGAGTGATTCGGTGTGTGCGCGATCCAAGCGGTTGGATCAGTTTAAAAAAATGTATAAAAATCAATAAGTAAGCACGGCAGATTGAAAAAAAGGAAAGTTAAGAAAGTCCTGGGGGCGAATAAAGAAACAACCGCATGACGAGTATTGTTGATGAGTTGTAAGTGGGCAAGCGCGTGCGTGGAAATGAAGCAAATGCATGGAGGAAACTGTTAACTGCATAATTTCGCAATTTATTCAGAGAGAATAGTCAAGTGAAAACAAATGAGACCGCGCGGTTATCACAGCTGTCTCGGGCAAGAAAACAGAACGGTACACCTTGTTGGTTCAAGCATCTGTACAACCAGCCATCACAGCCTCGGAAGTAAATAAACTCCGAGGGGGGTGCGTTGAAAACTAAATTCCACATAAGCCTTCTATCCCAACCCCACCCACAAAGTAAAAGAGAGCACTTCGCGCATCAAAGCTCATGTGATAGATCTTAAGACTCAAATAGTTTTTTAGATGATTATTTTTCAGCTGTCACAGGTCATTCATTTTCTGTTTCTGTGTGAACTGTGGATGCTTCTGAAAGCCCCAGTATGGTGAGGGTGGGTGTCCAGACCATTGTAGTTGGTTATGCTGAATGCGTGCTGGCAGACGGCCGATGCGACAGCGGTGCCGAGCGAACGTTACATCAAGCCATCGAGCTACATTTTTCATATCACTGACCCAAGATCAGAGTTCCTTGACCTAAGAAGAACCTTCGACTCAGTTGACCGCGAAGTCCCAATAGGTTCGTTGCATCGCAAAGGAATACACCAGAAGTATGTAAACCCATGAAAGTCAGTGTTTGCATACTTTTAGTAGCGTGAGTCTACGGTGACCTAAATAACTTTGTCAAAACCAGCAGCGGCGTTCATCAAGGGTGCCCTGTTTCGCCATCCTTGTTCGACTTTCTCGTAGACGAAATACTAGAAAGCGCACCAAGTTGTCTTCATAATCTAGATATTGAATGGGCAGCTAGAGAAAATCTGTGCGGTTCAGAATACGCCAAAATCTATAGCCTCTTCGAATGAAGTGGTGTTACGCAATCGACACACTGACAACTTCTATGACCCCATTCGGTATGCACTTGTTCAGCAAGCTATGTTTATCAGACCTTCATACTCATCAATAAGTGGAAGATAGTCCCATCAACTGAAACATCACAATGGCTTCAAGTTCCCCATACAACAGTAAAAGGGGCTACTGCTCGATCTCCATCAAATACAAAACCATATCTATGAAAGTTTCAAGCTATCTACACTGAGTGACCTGTGTTCTCCTCGGACTTGACTTCTTCAGCCTTCACACGAGCGTTCATATATCATTTGGCGGAGGGAAGATTACATTCATGGTCTGCTCACTAAGGGCTGCTTCCTTAGTGTCTCTGCCACTTTTTCTGTAAGCCTGTCGCTACAAAATCCCGACGATACAGCAGGAAAGATCACGTTTTTCTACGTAGGCAATATTACTGTTTGTGGGAGAAACAAAATCGAGTATGACCGTAACCTCAGGGATTTCTTGAACGCCGCCAAAGATATGGCTTGACTTTCAACGACAGCAAAAGCATTATAGGCGTGAAAGAACTCGGGCCCCTTGGTTTTCAGGTAGCGAAAGGCAACACCTAACCCTATCCTGATTGTTTGAAACCGTTGCAAGAAATACCTACGCCCACGAAGTTGAAATCACAACAAAAGATCGTAGGCCTCTTCTCTTAAAACTTGCTGTAGGTTTCGAACTTTTCTGAAAAAATCCATCTACTTGTACATAACCGGCTCTTTCGATAAAACCGCGTGTAAAGCAAAGCTTCGAAAGTCTCAAACATAAATCAACAACGGCCAGCCTGGCTACCATTCGTTTCAATATCTCGTTTGTCATCGAAACTGATGACTCGGAAGTGGCAATCACTGCTACGTTGAATGAGAAGAGGCACCCTGTCGCGCTCTTTCCTAGGACTGACTCAAGGGGAGAAACATTATTTAGCCGTTGAGAAGCGTACACCGTAGTTGGAGCCGTCCAGAAATAGTTAATGCTACTCGGGATTCGTTTCAAACTCGTCACCGATCTGTCTTTCATTTTCGGAAATCAGCACAGTGGAACAGTTAAGAATGAGGAAATCCTAGGATGGAAAATGGAACTGTGCCCCTACGCCTTCGACGTTGTATATAGACCCGGAAAGCAGAATACGGCCGCTGACACACTTAGTGGATCTTGCCATGGAGCCCTTTTAGCC